TTGTTTTTTTCGGCCAGGCGGCGCGCGACCGTTCGAGGCCCGCCCCCGGGGCCCCCCCGGATAAAAGAGGGGGATGAGGAAGAGGAGGAGGCCAGGAGCTTTCTTAGGACAGCCTGGGGCTCTCTTGAGGCAGTCTTGGGCCGCCCAGGGCCCCCCTCGCGCCGTCTCGAGGCGCTCTCGGAGACCTACTGGGCAATATTGGGGCTCTCCTGGGCTGTCGCGGGGCAGTTTGGGGGCCCTTTGGGGGCCTCCTGGGGCCTCTTGGGGCTTCTTCGGGGCTTCTTGGGTGCCTCTTCCTGGGGCCGTCTCGAGGGCCTTTTGGGCCGTCTTGGAGGCGTCTTGGGCAGTCTCGGGGCCCTCTTCGGCCTTTGGGGGGGCCCTCTCGGGCGCCTCCCGGGGCGATCTTGGGGGCTTCTTGGGCCGTCTTTGCGCGTCGGGAAGCGGAAGAGGCAAGAGCGCCGCATTTTCTCAAAGACGCATTGGAAATGAATATGTTTTGCTCCTGGGGGCTCTCTTGAGAGCTCCTGGAGGCCTTGGAGCGCTTTCCAGGCCTCTCGGGCTGTCTGGGGGCCGTCGAGGCGTCTTGGACAGATCGTTCGGCGATTCGGTGTTATCTTAGAGCGTCTTCGGGGCCTCTCTGGGCGCTCTTGGCCCGTCTGGGGGCTTGGGGCCACGTCTGGGCCCCGGGGCTCCCGGGGGGGGCGTCGCATTTGACCGCGCGCCCCCCCGCCCCCCCCCCCCCCCCTCCTCGGCCGCCCCGCCCCCGCCCCCGGCGGCGGAGGGGTCGAAGGGAAGGGCCCCCCCTTCGATTCAATTGCGACGTTGCTCAACTTTGCTTCGGCTGGCGCGCTGAGGAGGCCCGCGGGGAAGGGGGGCTTCGACGAGCCCGGGGAAAGGAGGTGTCAACAGCGACGGCGACCCACGAATGACGGAGATGGCGACTTGAACGGACAAGCCCCTCGCACGCGCCGACGAGGTCGGCGGATTTGTCTGCGGTGCTCTTACGTTCTACAACGGTGTATCTCCATGCCAAGCACTGCGCGGGCGACAACGGGCTTGTTTACCAGACCTACCGGTATTGGACCACCAACAGGGGACGGAGACGCCCGATCACAGACGAGAACAAAGAGTCAGAGAAATAAGCATTTGGGCCATCACACAAGCCACAGCAGTAGCCAAAGCCAAGAAGAGCCCGCACACAAAGAAGACGGCAGCGGGGCACCACAGTTATCAGCCAGGGGATCTCGTGGACTACCACCGTCCGGCCACGACCGAGGACGATTGGAGCGGATGGAGCGGACCGTGCCCTATCGCCTGTAACTACCCTGACCGTGGTCAGGCAGTAGCGCAAGTCGGCGGTCGGGAAATCTTGGTACAATACCCAGACTTACAACGCGCATTATTGTTTGAAGTATTTGTGGCCCGCGAGGCCGGCTCGGATACAACGGCAATGTGAACGGCGCTGGCTTTTGTCGCGAACTTGCCTGCGCGCGGGGAAACCTGCTATAGTCTTCGGCGACTTGCGGATCAAGCAGGGAACCTTGCGGGGGACTACAGCGAGCTGGATCTCGCCCAAAGTGCACGTAGCCCTGCAGTTCCTCATCGGAAAAGCATGGGCAACGTTGTAGCTGTGCGTTTGGCTAAAAGCAGCTACAGGTTACTGGCAGCACCCCGCGCTGATGGCTGCGTCTTGGCATGTGATGATAGCGACGTTGCACCGGGACTCCACTGCTACGAGTCAGAGGGTGCCGCTCTTAACGTGCCCGGCACCACTGGCACCGCGCGCGCGCGAATCATTCAGCGCTTCAAGTCATCAAAACAGTTAGCAGGTTTCGATGAGGATCTCCCAAAGTTCGAGGACCTGGCGGGCGCGCCAGCGACGGGTGGCTACGCCCAAGAGGAGGACGGACCTCCAGCACCGGTCGCCCTTGACGGCAGACGACGGATTATTGCTGAATAGTCAGAAACAGATTTGGAACCGCATGTCATGGACACGTGGCATGTAGAGCTTCAAGAGGAAACGGAGCTACTCGAAACCCCGTCATGGGAGCCCCAGTGTTCGATGCCCACTGACGTGGTCACCGACAACCGCGCACTCGCGGCTGTGGCCAGCGAATAGCCAGGACACATGCGAGAAATAGGTTTGGCTCGGAACCGCGACGCCGACGAGACCTTCCTGCTTCCTTTGGCCACCGAACACGACGAGACATGCGATCTCGACTCGGGCGACCACGGCCGCCATGTCGAGTCATGTTTTGCTGCTGGCGTGACCAATGTCGTTCTATCGGAGCAATAACGCGCGTCGCTCCACGGCGACCAAGTAACCGCAATCCGCGCATAGGTCTCGGCCGCCGCGAAAAGCGCCGCGGCTGTAGAGGAAGACGACCTCCCGACGAAGGCAGCAATTCAGGCCAACCCGACCGAGATATCTCGGACTTTGCACGCTGAACCTAAGATATGAGATGATAACCCATGCTTCAGGATGCAATACATCAAGGGTTCAAGTAAGATCATGACCTCTAGATACGCTTAGAAGTGGAAGTCTGTCAACAAAAACGATAAAGGCGGCATGGAACGAACAGTGCGACTGCGCCTTGTTCTCCGCGGCTTTATGGACGTCGAAGCTGTCGACGTAGAAACCTCCTCAGGCACGGCTCGTCGAGCAAGACGGAGATGGCTCGCAAGCGCGGCTGCGTGCAAGAGACAGTGGGTCATGGCATCCATGAACATCGATAAGGCTTTCTTGAGGGGTCTGACTTACCGTGAGTTGGCAGAGGCCACTGGTGAGAAAGAGCGCATGGTTTGCTCTGCTCTCCCACCTGGTTCAGCCTCGGCGCTGCGCGGACTGTCCGGTTCCTCGTCTTGTGACGATCCAAAGCGTCGTCTTCAGTGCCGTGCGCCAGGCACAGGCACCAAGGACGCCCCTGGGGAATTCTCACTTGAGCGCAGAACCATCACGCGAGGTTTCGGGCTGAAGCTCACGTCATGTTGCGAATAATTTGAGACAGGCCCAAGCCCCCTCACAGCCGAGCACGTTGACAACATCAAAATGGCAGGAGCGGATGACACGATTGGCAAGAACGGCGCGTGTGTAGAAGGTGCGTTCGGCGCATGTTAATTGAACAAACATTGCTGCACCAATTGCGCCGCGCGATACACTGAGACCGAGGACGGCCACGTCCAGCAAGATCAGGACGAATACATCAAACAGCTCCGTCCGATACAGCACCCAGAACTTACGGGCGCTACAGCGGAAGATAGAGGCAACGAATACCGTTTCCGACGTGTCCATTTGTTTACGCGGCGCCGTGGCGCACGCATTGACCATCCAAGCGCGGTGAATGATGCGCGGGGTATCCTTGCGCCGCGCACAGGGGCCCACTAACCTCCAAGCTCGCGGACTCAACGCTGTCACGCGCAAGCTTTAGCAAGGTTCAAAGAAACTCGCATGTCAACTTATGACTCCGACAGGAGAAGTGGACCTTCATATTGACGCAGGATACCGTCGCCTTAATGGGGGCGAAGACGAAGTAAAGGGATGTTGCATGCATCCGAGGAGCCGACCTCCTACTGCATGTTCACGCGCCCAATGACAAGGAAGTAGTGCATCTGGTTGATGCGCGCTGCAATTCGCATCGGTTGCAGGTGCGCTCCAGCTACTCAGCTGAAACATTGGCAGCCGCCCATGACCTTGAGGACTGCTATCCCACCGTAGTTTCACCGCGTGAGCTTAAAACTGGACCCCTAACACCTACACAACTTAAGAACTGGGACGTATCAGCTGGATAAGACAGATGATGGACCGAGGTATGGCTCATGGCGCACAGCGGTGTGATACCCGAGATGCGACCGCTGACGGCCATGCCAAAGGGCGCATCGACCGCGCGCTACTGTTGCAAGTGATGGAAGAAAATCAGTCCTTCAAATGCGAAGTAAAGAAGTACAGACCTTATCGAGGCAAGAAAGATACATCACCAACATAAGGGCACCCTATTCAGGGCCCGCGAAAACCAATGAAGGCGACTACTTACCTTCAGATAAGTAACTATCCTTACCCAGACACGGGCATGCACACCTGCGGCGCGGTCATCCTCGCCTGGGCACGGGCGTGGAGACTCATGGCGCCACTTCTTTTTACTATTCGAGGGGATCTCACCGCTTGGCCATAGCCCCTCGCTGGCCGCGCGATCTGTCGGCTGGCGTTTGGCGGGTCGCCCTGTGAGTCATCTACGGATGGTCGCGCGGTCTTGCCCGTGATCATCTATAAGTATTTGCGGCTGGTCATGGCAATGTGCCATGACCGGCTCTACTGCTCTGTGCTGTTTTTCTCTTACTTGCCTGCGCATTTCTGGGGATGTTGAAAAACAAGGTCCCCATCCTTCTTGTATACTTGTCATAATTCATTACGAAAAGGACATAGCGTTCGGCCCCTCCCGATTTTAAACGACATTTCGATAGAGGCTGTATAGCGAACGCTATGTCCGACGCTGTCCTTTCTCAAGGCAGCGCTGTCCTATGCGCCAGGCGCACGCGACTCTGCGCGCCTCAAGTGGGATCATAGTCGCGGACAACGGCCACGCCCTTCCACGATCCATGTCCCATTCCCATGGTTCCTCTCTTACCTCTCGCCTTGCTTGCCATCTAGGCATAAGTTGCAGGATGCCTCGATGCGTCGCCGACGTTTTCCTCAGAGTAGGGTTCGCAGCTCATTACCTCATTGTCAAGCCCTGTACCCTTACTTTTCACTGGCTTGACGCCTCTGATACCTGCGTTTCGTCCGGGGGTTCGTCGCGGTTGTGCTTGCACTGTTGGGGGGGGGCATTTTTTAAAACAAAAAAAAGGAACGGCAGAAACACAAACTGTTGGAGCTCCGCGCGGACATCTTGTCGCGCGGAGCGGGCCAAGTGCGGCGCCAGAGGTGGCGCCAGAGGGGTCCCCGATCCAAGAAACCCGCGCATACTTTCGAACATTTAAGTCATTGCAGTTCCTTGTTTCTCTAGGTCTCGGTGTACCATGTCAGCCTCCACGACATGGAGAGCGAGCGCCGCAGGCTCCAGGCGGAGCTGTCGGCCCAGGTGGCCAGGGCGGGCAGTGCCGAGCGGGAGGCGCACGCCGCGGGTTCGCGCCTCGAGCGTGTGATCGAGAGGCGGCAGGAGGAGGAGACCCAGGCGAAGGCCGACCAGCTGCTCGGGAGGAACTCGAATACAAATACACTGCGTAAACGTAAGCTTTCGATGGTCCGCGCAAATTTCTTGGACCTGCTCTGGGGGCCCCCGGCCCCAGCGCTGATCCAGGAAATCCGCGCAGAGCTCCACAGGGTATTCTTATGCAGTTCGTTGTGCCTCTAGGAACGCGCCGGGTGCCGCGTGGGACGACGAGGCTCAGAGGAAAAACAAAAAAAGGACCGATGCCGCTGTTCGTCCTGGAGAGCCCTCGTCGCCACGGCTTGGTTCGCCTCGAATTCCTTGTCAAAATGCACCCCGGGAAAGGTTTGTGAGTAACGGTATCGGTATCGTTGTCTGTCCCCCCAGAGGCATGGGAGGCCAAGCTCGACGAGCTGCACCGCAAGTGGGAGGAGCAGTACATGCAGCCGGTGTTGCAGGAGATGGAGGATCTCAAGTCGCAGAACATGGAGCCTGGGGGCAGCGACAGGGGGGCAGTGGCCCAGGGGTGGGAGGCACCGACCTCCATTCGCCCATTCATCGCCGATCGGGGCTTGGACCCATTTCCCGCCCAGGAAAAGTTCGGCTTCGCTAACGAGTGCCTAACGCCGTTTTATCGGCGATGCCGATTTCGACTCAATGTTTCCCTCATGAGCCAGGCCCCGCCTATCGTTCCTCCTCAGGAGTTGCTGGACATGCTCAGGAAAAGCAACAGGGAAAAGAAGGAAGTGGAAGACCTGCTGAGTAAGGCGGAAGCCTTCTTGAAGGCCTCGTCCCTCCGCGACGAGGCGCAAGCGCAGGGCATGGAGGCCCTCGAGAAGCTGCTGGAGAGCCTCGACGACGACTGTTTCTGGGCGGAGGGCAGGTCCCTGCTGCAGGAGTCGCTGGAATACCTGCGCTCGGGCGACGACTCTCACCAGGCGGGCGGTGCCAGGCAAGCGGGGTCGACCGCGCGGGCTGCCCGCACTGAGGTCGCGCTCGTTTCCACGTGGCGTGCTGCGCTCGCGGCCCGCGTGGGTAAGCCGCCGTTCAGGGCCGCCGCGCCGTCGATCATGGGGAGGGGCGCTGGAATTGATGTTGGTGCAAGGGGAGGATTAGCGTTTTACCCTCAGGGCCATAACGCGCGCTATGCTACCACTGCCATAGCGCAGCGCTCCTCCGCGCTCAGTGCCGCAGAGCGTCTGGCACCACAGTCTGTCACAGCGGGGGGCGTGGGCGTTACGTTATGACGCCCCCCCTGCCCACCCTCCCCGCGAACGACAAACAGTTTTCAAAGACGCACTGATGCTGACACTGATGCTGCTGCTCCGCAGGCCCCTAACGGGGTGAGTTCTAGGATCCAGCCCGGGCGACGCGGCCGCCCTCCGCCCCACCCATGGTCCCAAGAACGTGGAAACGAGGAACGGGCGTAATTGTCTGCATGTTTTCTCCAAATCGCGTTTTCTCGTTCGTATTTTCATGTATACGCGTACCCGTTGTTCTCTCTCTCTCTCTCTCTTTCTCTTTTTCTATATGTGTGTGAGTGTCATGATATGGATGTGTGTGTGTGTGGGTGTTTTCCCTTCTCCTCCGCCCCCCTCTGGTTCAAGGCCGCGAGCGGGCCCCCCCTCGGTGTCTCCCGCACTCAAGGGGGCGCCCGACGCAACTTTGAGTGAAGTCCGGTGGAAACACCCGCGGTTGCCCTCGAAGCCACCGCTGGATTCGCCTCGCCTCCTTATCCTTCAACCTTCGCAGTTCGAAACGCCCGCGGTGGTGGCGCCAGTGAAGCGTCCCCCCAGAGCGTTTCCTCGCGGCGCCGCCGCTGCGACGCACGGCGTCTCATGAGCCCAACCGTGGTTTCCGTTTCAGAACACGTGCGAGTGATAGAAGATCGCAGTGGACGGACCTCGCAGCGAAGAACCCCCGAGCGGTATCGTCTCCAGTCTCCTGGCAGGGGCAACAGCCGCAGCCCCTCCCAGAGGCGCTCACGGCAGAGTTCCCTGCGGCGCAACATCGCACCGCGCGCGTCGCCCTCAGCCAGTGATTTGGCCGAGTTTAGACACCGCGCTGGAACTTGCACAATCCAACAGTTGTCGGGCCGTGCTGCGCAGAGCAACACTGAGGCATGAACTCCACGACGCCCTTGCCCTCGTCGACGCTCGGATCGTTGAAGATCGATCGATCCTCGCTCAGGCCCAGTGTCAAGGCGACCGCACGGAGTCACGCCGAGGTTCCGACTCCTCTGCAACTCAAACGCTCCACGACTACCTACTTACAGTAGAGACGCAGTTTGTGAGCGTCGGGGACGCGGGCACTGCTGCAGTCAGGACCCTACACGATGAGTTCCCGACAATAAAGCAGGTTCCAGCTATGGATGTACATGGGCTTACGGATCAAAAAGTCCGAAACGACCTCAATGCGCTCCGTACCCAGGTCGAAAGTGGCCACTGTCACTGTGGGCTCCCGAAGCACCACAACCACGTCCGATTTGCACGGCAAGTTGCCTAGTGCTGAGACGGCTATCGCTCAACGTCTTGACGCTTCGGAGGGACGCGCGCCAGCGCTCGAGAGCCGAGTCCCCGCGGTCGAGCAAGCACAGGCTGCGCTGGCTCACCACCCAACAAACCACCCCAACCCAACCCGAAGGCTCAGATTTACCCTCGATTTCCAGTGGGGGGGGGGGGTCGGGAAACATCGAGAAAAAAACACACGTGGAACCCTTACCCCCCCCAACCCGAAATTCGGGTCTTCGGGTTGGGTTGGGGTGGTCTGGTAGGTAGTCACTGGCTGAGTTGCGCGCTGCACAGGCCCATGCCGATCAGCTGGGCACCCCGACTGCGGCTTACGATTTCGCCGCCCTCGACGCCCGAGTGGCCGAGGCATGGGAGGCGGCGGACAACGCGCAGCTACTGCTCGCCCAGATCTCCCACGAAAGAGACGCCGAAAAGGCACGGGCCGAGGACGCGCTCGCCCGCGTGGAACGAGAGCGCGAAGCACGCAACCGACGAGTCCAGGACTTGAGCTTGGGGGCTGGACCGGCACCCCCAGCGCACTCGCGACACCAAAGACGACACATGCGGCTCACGACAGAGCGTCGAGAAGACGCATACCGACATCACAACTGGCGAAGCCACCATAAAGGCCCACGTGAGCGACGCTCAGAGCCACATTTCGACCCCACCTCCACAACCTACCACCGGCGGTGCCCTAACCCTCGCCGATGGAGACATCCGCGCTGCAGTCACCAGGAGCCGCCTCTGCAGCGGCATCGGCTCAGACGCGCCACGTCTCTCCTGCGCGTGAACCATCGCCAGCGCCGCCGATTCCATCGCAGAAAGTCTCACAGCTCTCTCTCTCTCTCTCTCTCTCTCTCTCTTTTCTCTCTCTTTCTCTCTCTCTCTCTCTCTCTCTCTCTCTCTCTCTCTCTCGCGGGTGCCACCCCGATAAGGAAGCGCTGCCGCGCATTACTCAGTTACAGGAGTGGCAGCAGATGGTCAGAGAAATGTTTGGCAGAGCCTCCGGACGCCCTGCCGGGGCATTCGCACTCCTGCGTGTCGCCGAACAACCTGACACTACGTTTGAAGACTTACAAGACAGCGGCAATTTCGAAAGCATTGATTGTAAACTTGTTGTCGGACTCTCGGCAGTTCTGAAAACTGAGCTCTGTTATATGTTGAAGAGCAGCCCCGAAGCTCAGGATAATGAATCCGACCGCGTGCTGATAGGTTCAAAGATCTATTGGACTATATGGCAATCGCACAAAGTCACTGACGTCGACGACTCGACGCGCGACTTTCAACGTCTACAACTTATTCGCATGCGGGATGGCGATCTCAAACGATTCATCGTGGACCGGAACAAAGAGCTTTTGGAACGTCGCGAACAACCCTACACAAATATACTTGAGTCATTGTTCCGAGCTCAGATTCGCAGACATCCGCGGATGAAGCGGGACGCGCGCGACTACGGCGAGATGGAACCAAACGACCCCAATCGCACGCGCGACTGGTTGCGAGAACGCGCCCTGGCCAACGTCGAGTTGCATCGACTCGAACGCAACCGGCGCAGCCTCACGAACGAAATGACTCGTTGCGAGCCAGCCGTCTGCGCCGCATTCACGTCAGGACGTTGCAAGAACGGAGAACGGCGCAGGCTGCCACGCGCAGGATCTGGCAACAGCTCCACGCCGCGACCTCCATGTAGAGCATCGACTGCCGGCAGAGACGCCCGCGAACGACGACTTTCCACGGGGCGGGGCCCCAAGCTACCGCCCAGGGGCGGCGCGCCAACTTTCTGTTTCGCCCGCGCGAGACACGGCGCCTGCCTACGGCAAGATCGACGCCCACGCGTTGCCGAATGCAGCTTTCATGCTGACCCCAAATTACATTGCAAACGTGGCAGCAGTTGCCGATTTGCGCGCGTCGACCCCGGCGCCGCGACCCCCGGGCGAAGCCCCGGCCGGACGCGCAGCCAAGGTGACCGCAATGGGGCGCCCTCTCCAAGACGCGCGGGGGGCCGAATACACCCCCCATGCGCGGGGCGGCAGGGCTCGAAGTCCGGGGGGCGCGCGTTGGTCGCGCCTGGGAACGCCGCCCCCAGGGCGCGGGGGGCGGCGAGGCTCGCGCAGTCCGGGTCGCGGCCCCCGCAACGCCCCCGATCGTCATCGCGGGGCCGCAACCGCGACCCCCATCAAGGACGTTCCCCCGCCAGGAGCGACAGGGGCGGGCGCCGATCTGCGCCCCGCGGCTACAGCCGATCACCATCGACCCGCAATCGGAACCGCTCTCCCGCATCAGCGCGCCGCAGTCGACGACGTGATCGAACATTTGTGACCCGCGAAGGGATGCTTCTCATCGCCAGTCAACATTCACGGCGCCTACGTGTCGACCTCGACAACATTGACATCATCTCTCACGCGGTTCAGCGCAGACTTTTCTCACATCAAGAGAACCATGTACCAACGAAGGTGACCCCGCTGATGTACTGGATCCGTTGCCTGATTGGTGGTTGGAAGACAGCGCGCAGGCGCTGCGCGACTGTCAGACAGGCTCAACGATGGCACGGTGACCTCACGCTGCCTTCCAGACTTCCTACGGCACCCGCCCCGCCATCGCATTGCGACGCTGCGTCGGCGGCGACGCCCGTGCCCGAGTCTACATCTCTGACGTGGCCCACTGCAGCGTTGTCACGGACGCGGATATTGGATAGTGGTTATGCCCATCATATCCAAGACAAGGCCGATCTCACACCACAATAAACAATCGACTCGCACCAAGGACGCTAACATATACTCGAAACAGCCAACGGCGACAGGATCGTCAACGAACACATTCACTTGATATTACCGCACATAGGACTATCGAATTCAGCTTTTGCGCTGGACGATTGCCCACTGGCACTATCTGTGGGGCAACTGGTGCAAGATGGCGGCTTCCGACAAGTCTGGGATCCGCAAGTGGGCCACTTACCGCGGGGCCCAAGCGGTCAATGGCGCAATGTTACTGTCAATAACCGTATCCCGGAATTCGACTTTAAAAATCTGGAACGGATTTCGCCGCCTCAGTTGCGCCCCGCGCAAATTAAGTCACGACGTTCGCTACGCGCGCTACAGCATGAGCCTAATTTGTCGCATCCTTTCTTGTAGATGTTGCATGGGTGATGCCGTCGCGCCGGTGGACGCACTTGCGTCTGCGCCCCGAGCGAGCGACGTGGCGCATTGTGTTCCTGCGCCGGTGGACACACCCGCATCCATGCCAAGTGTGAGCGACCTGGCGTCTGGCGATTTAGCGCGGGCGGGCGCGCCCGCGTCTGCGCCGCCAACTCGTTGCGCGACGCTATCTGGCCGGCCGCGGCCACCCGTCGATCCCTCGCACTACATCGCCCACAGCCCAAAGCATCCTCACTGTGAGATATGCGCACGAATCCCGGCACACAATGCGCC